CCATGCAAACCGAACACAACTATGAAAATAATACATGGTACCAAATGTTCCACTCAGTTTTATTAATACATTTGTTAAGTCACCAATGGTTGGACTGAAATAATTAAAACATGAAGGTATGTTGATGTAAAAGTTGCTTTCAGTCTGGCCTCAGGATCTCTGATCTGGCGTTATTTATGCTTACTTTTTCACAGCTCCTTTTTCCTTTTTAACTGGTAGATTAATTTATAGATTCCCCCCCCCAACTTCCAGAAATTACTACTGATCTCTCCAAAAGCTGATTTCCTTTAAATAACAGATATTGATAACTGATATATTTTAAGTGAGTCATCTGTAGACACTGCTTTCTGTGTGTTTGCAACAATGAAAGAGTATAATTTATTTACCCACAGAAGTGAAACAAATCTCAAGGTTTTGCTTTCATAAGTTTTTTGAAAAGTACTTCTGCTTCATCTTAAACTGTCAGCTAGAAAAGTTACGATCTAAGGCAGAAGCAGATAGTCTTTTTAGGGATAGTAGATTCTTTGAAGATGTGTCTAAAAGTTCAAAAGCAGACTGTAGTTGAAGCAGGTCCAAACTTTTCAGAGCCTTTGTCTTTTTAATTGTACTAACTTAGTCTGGAAAAAAAATTTTCTCATGTCTTGGAGATCTTGATTCTCTCTTTCTCCACTTTGGACTCTTTAAAGTGTCTTTGTGAGGTTTCAGCCTATGATTAATCTCAAAAAAGCATGGCCTCACACCTGCTAAAGGCAGTTGTAAACTTGCCTGTGGAAACCTGTTGATGGAACTTGGAAGCAACTTATTTCCAAAGATAGAAGTTAACCTGTACTTGGAAACTGGCCATGATGGGTAGATTAATACAGGCTAAGTTTTTTCTTTAGGTTTAAATGGCTGTTCTTAGAGATGCTGAATCACTGGCTTTCCTAGCTTACATTGCATCTCTATGAATATTAAATAAGTAGAACCCAAATAATTGTCTTCAGAAGAAAAAAAAAAGAATGTGGAGAAACTGGAGAGTACAGTTCAGCGCACTGTGTGGGGCAGATGATGATCAGTGAGTGATTATGGATGAGTAGTACAAAAAGTTATTTACATGCTACCTTTGACTTCACTATTTACAAGGTTAATTATTGTGAGTGTTTATTACAACAATTTATGATCATGCTACCTTAGTCATGATATTATGAAGCCTATTCTGTACATCATTTTTCAAATTATGGCCTCTAAATGCAAATCTGTACCAATGCCATTCAGCTAGTGTTATTCAGACGCACGTTGATGTGGACTATAATTGTATTACTAGGAATTGATTTCTTTTCTGGGATATACTAGTGATGAAAATGCTTTTTAGATTTTTCAAAGAATAAGATACATTGGCACAAGTCATTAACAGACTCTTGTTCCAGTGCAAGAAGAAGAGAAAATTAGCAGGGTTCAGAGGGACAGGTGTGGCCACATACCCTGGAGGACACGCTGATTCAGTATTACTGTTACTGTGGCTCCTATGGAGTTACAGCTAGAAAAGCTGATGAAAATTTGAAAGGAAGTACAAGAGGGCTCCCTGCTTTCATCTGAAAATTATTTACAGCCTGTTGTGCAGCATTCCCTGGAGACTCAGGAGTGACTTACCCCTTCTAGTTCCATAAAGGTGACCCAAAACTCAAGTTCATTGTTATTTCACAAATCTTGCTCATTGGGAGCTATAGTTAAAGGTGGAAGCAGTGTCCAGTACTCGAAGAAAAATGAGTGGGCACTCATAGGAGAAAAAAACCTAATGTTTCTTTGTGCTTGTATGAGAATTTTTTCCCATATGTTTAGTCTGTCACCAACATGCTAGACTATATACAGAATTATGAAAATGTCTTTAGCACCTTGCCATGAACTCTATCTATTCAAGGAAATGGTTTAGCCTTTACTGAAGTAATAGAGTTAATTCATCACTTTCTACAGCAATGAAGGAAACATATTTGTTTGTAAAGTGCTGATTCTTCCGTGTTACAGTGGTCACTTCTTTTGTGCCAAAATGGCTGCTCTGTGATTTTATCCTTTTAAATGCATATCATTTCAGCTCTGCAATTCTAACATATTTCATTTGTACCCTCACAGAATGGATGTCATAGGCACATGTACCGCATTTATTCTTTGATTCATGCATATGTTCCAATCTGTAACATTCACAATCACAAGAAGATTTAAAATGTATTTGTTAATAATTATTTGCTGAAAACTCATAGTAGTCCTGTGTTGATTCTATGAATGCAAGTAGACAGTTTATCCAACATTTATAAATGACTAATAACTACGGTTTTGCTTGAGGTTTAGGTCAGTAGGTACACAATGCTATTTTTCTTGAAGACTACATTTTACAAAACGGACATAAAAACATTTTAAACAAAAAATAAACTGAAAACTAGCCAGAGCATTGCAAGGTAGACTATCTTTGCTGTTTAAGGCCTTAACTGTCCTACCCCCAAATTTAGACTTTGTGTGATTTCTATACAAGTTTGCAATGAAGAATCATAAAAGCAAGTAGAAAGTTTTTAGCCTATATCACTTCAAAGACTCCTTATTTTCTGGTAAAATATCTCTCTAATGATTAACTATTAAAAATACATGAACTGAGTTGATTTTTTTTTTTTAAAGTTGTATTTAACTGTCCTCTCACTTGTTTCCCTTAGGGAAGATCTTTGTCATTTAAGACCTTCCTCATCTGGGTTTTAATCAGTATTTACCAAGGTAGGAGAGAGTCCTAATTTTACTGAACTGAGAATTTTTTGTCTACTACTAGCAATATTGTTTTTCAGCTGCAGGTTGAATTCCCAAAGCATAACATTACATCAGCAGTTATATATATTGCTTTCTGTTTATCTCGTAAATCGATACTCCTGTAGTATGCCAGACCTATTCAAATCACGGCATGGATTGGTATTTTTATTGATGCATGTTGCCTAAAAAAAGGATGTGTTCTTAATTAAATGCTAATCCAGAAAAATTTTAATGAGTGCTTATCACATTGCATATATATACACAGTAGTTTTCTTTCATGGAATGACAGAAGTACTGTTGAAGAAACCTGAATTATGTAATCAGTGAAAAGTAATTACACTTTCAACAATATCTCATTTATTTGTAGCACTTGACAAAATGAGGTTAATTAACAGTTCATCAAATATATTGCACTGAAAGGTGTTTAATTTTCTAATAGTTCTATTTCTTTACATTTTTACTTTGGTTTTATTTCACATGCACAAAGTACAGTAAATATCACTGTTCTTTTAGATAGATCAATGTTGTTACCTTATAAAAAATATTGCTGGGCAAGTTTTCATAACAAGCAATCAAATGTTCAGTGTGCAGTTATAAAAAGTGGTACACTGAAATATCATTGCTTAGTGTATTGTTAACTTTGTGTGCCTTTTCTAGGTGGTATTCTGATGTATGGAGCCCTGCTGCTTTTTGAATCTGAATTTGTACATGTCGTTGCCATTTCCTTCACTGCCCTAATCTTGACTGAGCTCTTGATGGTTGCACTGACCATACGAACATGGCACTGGTTAATGGTGGTGGCTGAATTTCTCAGTCTTGGCTGCTATGTGGCCTCTCTTGCATTTCTAAATGAATACTTTGGTGAGTAATAGTAAACATATTTTAGCAAAGAACTGTGCTTTATATTTTGAATTTTTTTTCTCATTTTTTAAATTAAAAATAGGTGATAATATGCTTTGTGAAATACAACTTTCTCCATAAGAAATATGACTGAGTTGAAATGAGGATTAATTAATGTTGGATTAAAATATTCTCTTATCCTCTTGGAGTTTGGCAATCTTTATTCCTGTTGTTATGATTTATCTAGATGATAAACTTTACTCAAATCACGCATACTTTTCCTATCCTTGATCTGATCTTGACAGTCCAAACTGCATACCTTAAATTGGCTTTGGGATTTCACTGTTGAAATGGATATGATTTTAAAAAATCAGGACCTTTCACTGAGTTATGAATTATTTTGTATGCCAGACCAAGTGGACCTAATTATATCTAACTCACGAGCTTAAAAGAGCTGAAGTATTGCTAGAGGGTGAGGCAGAAAGCTGTTAGGATAGATTCTTTATATAAGAATCATTGTTTCATAATTATATTAAGCTTATATTAAGCTTGCTTTCCTTTAAATTGCAGTTTGTCATACCATGTCTTAAGGTTCTGATTGTTCATAGTTCACAAAAGGAAAGAACACATTTTAACTGCAAATCTTAGCAGTCAAGGATGTGAGCTTCAAAATAATACATATTTCTTTTCATATCAAATTATCCTTCAGTAAAAACAATTATTTCAATCTTAGTGTGATTTTACAAATGTAACTTTTAGAGAAATATATATAACAATTTTGACAATATGTCACAAGGGGTAGAATACAGCTCCTTCTCTCTGTTTTCCAGGAGCTGATGAGTTGTCCTTCTTCAATTGTCACCTCTCATAGCAGAATTAAATGTTATATGGTAGTTTCTAGGAGTCTTATAGTTCTGCTTTCACTCTTTCATGTCCCAAGTATTCAACACTAGGATAGTGCATTTACATTATCTAATTATTTTTTTATTCAGTGAATGCTTGTCCCAGGTGTTCTCTTACTTCCCAGATTTCTCAGGAGTCAAATTTTAATGAAGAAACAACCCTGCTGGGCTTGGTACTTGTACATTATTTCAGGTTTGCCAGGGTGCTTTTCCTTCTCTGACACAGACTCTTTAATAGAGATTATTGGGTTGATTCCTGACTCTCCACAGACAGATTACAAATGAAAGGAACAAGCAGGAACAGATGCAGGTACTGGCTCTTTAGTCCAGGACCTTCATAAAGTGGAACTTGCTGCTTTACCTTTGTAAGTCTTTGGTATTGGTGACAGCCACTCCTTCCATCCTTTGTGGGTGTTGTTCAGTGAGAAACACCTTTAGGTGGTGTTCACGTATGTGTAAAAACTGCAGGGACTTTGTTTCTTGCAAACCTTTTTGTAAAGGGCAATGCTTTACTCTCCTCATATAAGGAGACAAGAACAAGTCTGAGCAACTGAGTAAGTAAAGGTTGCATGGCATCTTGCAGCCTGGGGACTTTTCTGTATTTTTCATCATTAAGGGTACTGAAAAGGCTGCAGTTTAATGGGCTTTTGTAAAAATGTATTTTATTGTGTGTTATTAATCACTTAATCCGAGAAAATGCATTTCAGTCTCACTTCTGCTTAATGCTTTACTCTTACTTAATCTGTCACATTATAACTGAGGCGAAGGAGTCTTTGTGCATGTAACATAGTATAAACTAAATTATGGTTTACAGTTCAAGGTATAGAACAACTTCCATGTATCAGGAAAAATCCCATGCTTGACTTCATCGGCAAATAAAGTTTCTTTCAGTGAAGTTACTTACAAGCATCATCTCCTCCCAAAGAAATGATATCATAAGTATGACAGGGTACTCAAATTAGAAAGACAAAAATATATGATACTGCTCTACAGCTCTGATTCATTGAAGTAAATCAGTTTTCAGGTTTCTGAATTAATTGCACACAATGGCCTTATTAGGCATGTCTCTATGATATGTTACATAGGCTTTTAGTATGTCTAAGCAAGCTTAGGCTAAAACTGTATAACGTGTTTATACACTGAAATCTAATATGTAAAGTATTTTTAATGAGTAAAGTTGGAGCAGTATAGCATTTCTTTACTGCATTTTCTGAAGTGAATTTTCATTCACATTAAAATAGTTCTGATCAAGTTGTTTATACAGTAAATTGTACCTTGAAGTCAAATGTAAGAAAACTGCCTGCCTAGTTACAACCTTAAAACATGATCAAATATAAATTCTCTATATTTTCAAAATGGTTTGGCTTCATTACTGTTTTAAATATTCTGATTGTCATGTGAAAGGCAATAAGATTCCACTTAATGCTACTAACATCTTTTTAATTTCCTTTTTGTGTAGCTAACCAGTTTGAGTTTTTGTCACATAACTTCTGTATTTTCTGTAAATCTATCCTTTTATTTTCATTCTCCCTCTTTATGAAACAGGTATAGGCAGAGTGTCTTTTGGAGCTTTCTTAGGTAGGTCATGTTTAACTTTTCTTGAAGGTTTTTTTTTTTTCAAGTCTTTAAAAATTCATTAGAGAGTAGTAAATTATTTAATTACATTTGTAAATAATGGGGAAAAGCAAATTTTTAAAAAAACAATTTTCAGGTTACCTGGATTCTGGGATCTTTCCATGATAGTTAAGTATGACCTGACCATTGCAAATATAGTAAAAAAAATTCAGTAGAAAGTGTAGGGTGTCACCATTCTTGTTAATGTTTGTCACAAAAAATAGCTTTTCATTGTGGCTTGTGGCAATATCACTGCATTGTTTTCCCTTTAAATTTTTGGGCTCTAATTTAATCTCTAAGGTTTTAAGAATCAGTCTAGTTGTTGTGACTGTTTCAGAGAAAAATAATCTGAATATGGAATAAAGGATCCAAAATGGTAGCAGAATTTCTGCTTGACAACTTGTATTATACTGGGTTAAAATTGTTCTTACTAGCAGAAAAATAAGCTGGCTTAACTCTTTATTATGAGAAAGTCTTGCTTTTAAACTGAGATTCTGTTTCCCCAAAAATTATTTTGTGTTGCAAAACAGTGTAAGGACAGTAAAAAATCCCTCTGAAGTTCCCATGTAAAGAAAATAGTTGGCAAAACCAAAACGTTGAGGTTAACTTTCTGTTGGTTTGTGCTTTTTTTTTATTTTGCATGATCTTGAACAATAGCATAAGCAAACAATTTAAGAGAGTTTTATTGACTTTGCACTGTGGAAGTACCAGTTTCCATGTTATCAGCTCCCATTACTTATTTTCCCTTTTTGTTTCTGCAGATGTTGCCTTTATCACAACTGTGACCTTCCTGTGGAAAGTGTCAGCAATCACTGTTGTAAGCTGTCTTCCACTTTACATCCTCAAGTACTTGAAGCGCAAATTTTCTCCTCCAAGTTACTCCAAGCTTACCTCGTAAAAGTAATTATATTCCTGTGGTTTTTCGCTCACACCAGTCTGCAAATTGCACATTCACCGTGCTTTAGTGTCTATGGGTTTATGTGGGACTAAAGAAATTAAAAAATAAAAGAGCATGAATAGCACAAAAAGAGGAGGAAACATCCGACAGGTACAATAACATAGAAGTACACTTAACAAGACTATCAGAGATAAACTAAACTTTCGTCATATTGATTTTTTTTTTTTTTTACTTTCAGTTGCTATGATTATAAAATAAAATCAAATTGCCTTTGATTTGACAATGCTTCTGAATGGTTTCATTGCTACTGTAAAGAATTTTTTGCTACTGTAAAGGAATTTTTCCTTCTGTACTAATCTTCTGCAAGTTGAATCGAAAGTTTCATTATTTATTACATAACTTCCTTTAATTATTACATAACTCCTAATTCAAGTCCTTTCCTTTAATGTTTATATACGGAAAAGTTAATTCGTCCATACTTACTATAACAAACCTAATACCTGTAAATGCCCGTGTCTGTATTAGCAGCTAACTGTTATTCCTCATCAGACATTGAGTAATATGCACTACCTGAATTATGTACAGATGTCTGCATAGCACAGTATTATTTTAGGAGCTGTTGTCCTATTCTATACTCTCCATTTCTGGCACCAGTAAATATTACAGATCTGTGATGTTAACAGCAGTTCTTGAAATGCACATTAAAGCCAGGTTGCACAAAAGCTGTTTAAAAATTAGATGATAAATTCTGTACATAATTCCACTGCACCTATTGATCTGTACAGATATTAAAGACATAGCTGCTCAGTAATATGTTTTAAAATTCTTATCCATTTTGTATTTGTAAAACTGCAAATAGTGTCAAAGTACATTTCTATATATGAGAAGTCCAGTAAACCTTGTATTAGCTAATACGTTTAAATTGCCTTGTAATCTGTTTACTTAGGTTACTCAGGTAAAAGAAAATAAGATGAACACATGAACATTATGGTAGGAAAATCTGTCATCTTCCAGGTTGTAAATGTTGTGGTTTTATAACTTAGTTTGGGTGCAGACTTGTTGGGGAAAAAACCCCAACAAACCAGACATTTTTGCTTGTTGTAAACTGTCAGAGTTGAGTATCTTGGGTGAGTTACGACACTTTACAGCAGTTGAAGATTTGTTCCAGAAACTCATGTACTCTGATACAGTCTGAAGGGTCCAAATCTTGCATACTGTAATGGAAAGCAGGATGTATTATTTTAGTTTTCCACTGCAATACAACTTTGCTTTCTCAAGAAGTATGTATAATGAATTTGGCATAGTCTATTAATCAGTGGAAAGGAACAGCATAATTATCCATGCTTTATTTATTAAATATTTATGTGTATGGTTTTTTAAAAAACACTTAGTATGGATGTTATTCTAATGTTTGACTGTATGCCTTTACAACATAATTCCTTGTTTAGTGTCTTGCAACTTTGCCCTTATGCCATTATTATATTGGATGAGTAATATTTAAGTGATAAATATAACTACTTCCTGGGAGAGCAGAGGAAACTGCTGCAGTTATTTGGACTCCATTAATTTTTCTTTTGAAAGTCTTTCTTACTAGCGATTTATCTGCTTTTTTTTAAAAAAAATAATTTCATTCCTCATTATAAAAGCAATAAAGCCTAATTTCTACCAAATGTTATTAATGGTATATGTGTTAAATGAACTACTGAAGTAGGGTTTCTTTTAATTACACAACATTGCAGACTAGTTTGCTCTGTCCCTCTGTAAACTAACTTTTGTAAAAGTCCCACAAGATGTCACTGTTCTTGCATGCTAGCAGAAGCCTTTCTTCATTTTATGTGGTTTTGGCAAGATACTCTTGGTTTATATTTTTAGTTTAGTCCTGTGATATTTTTGTTGCTGATCGGCTTTAATTTTCTATTTTTCTCCAATAAGTGGCAATTACTTGGAAACAATTAAGAAGAGTCACCAGCACGCAGTTGTTCTGAAACAATATTTTCTTCAGAATTTTGTCTTACACGTTATGATCTCGCAACCATGTGCATAAGATTCAGTAGATCAGCAAAAGCTTAGACTTGGTCATCCTTCATCTATACATCACATCTTCGACATTAGGCAGAAAATGAGAAAAAAACAGAAATTAAACTAGCAGTATGGAAGTGATAGTATTACCATAATACAGCTGTATGCCATACAATCGTATCCATGTGTACAGAATTTACAGTGTTACGTATTAATCCTCAGCATTAAGACTATGAGGTTAGTGTGATAGCAAATGTGTAGATTCTACACACAGATACAAGCCTTTCAAAAGTGGAGTCAATTCTATAGAGTGCCTCCTTTCTTAGAGTGTTTTCAATATACAGCAAAGGTCTAGTTTCAGCTAGCACTTTATACTGATGACTGCAGAAGTCTGATCCAGGTGACTTACTGTCCTGGTTTCAGCTGAGAGGGTTGATTTTCTTCATAGTAGCTAGTGTGGGGATACGTTTTGGATTTGTGCTGGAGACAGCATTGATAATATAGAGATGTTTTTGTTCTGTGGACTTATTGTTGAGCAGTGTTTACATGGGGCCAAGGCCTTTTCTGCTTCTTGCACTGCCCTGCCAGCGGGATGGCTGGGGGTGCACAAGGAGTTGGGAGGAGACACAGACAGGACAGGTGACCCAAACTGACCAAAGGGGTATTCCATACCATATGACGTCATGCTCAGTTTATAAGAAGCTTGGAGGAAGAGAGAGGGGGGGCGGCAGCATTCGGAGCGATGGCGTTTGTCTTCCCAAGTAACCGTTAAGCGTGACGGAGCCCTGCTTTCCTGGAGATGGCTGAACCCCTGCCTGCCCATGGGGAGTGGTGAATGAATTCCTTGCTTTGCTTCGCTTTGCTTGCGTGCGGCTTTTGCTTTACCTATTAAACTGTCTTTATCTCAACCCACGAGTTTTCTCACTTTAACTTTTCCAATTCTCTCCCCCATCCCGATGGGGGGGGAGTGAACAAGCGGCTGCGTGGTGCTCAGCTGCCAGCTGGGGTAAAACCACAACACTTACCTTGCTTTTGAGGTTCAGTCTCTGCAAAACTATGTATACCAGGAAAGTCTGCTTTCTAGTCATGTCACTCAGCCACAGCCCTGTGAAGGGGTAGCGCTACCAAGTCACAGTGGTTTACATGTCACAATAGCAACAGAGAATTTAAGTATTGTAATATGACATCTTTCAGTAGAAAGCTTTAATGTATTGTGGATTTCAGTACAAAGTACGCTAAGTACCATCACAAACCCTGGCTCTTAAAACAGACTAGAATGGTAATGTCTCTGGTGTGCAGGTGAATACATTACTTTGTAAGAATCTCATCCTATTGTCATTTCACATCAGTATATGTCAAGAAGTCTGGAGCACCAGATCAGCTTACATAAACACCGATTTAGGTCTCGGATCTGAAAGTTACACTCAGAGTGTAGTTTTCTTTTGTATTAAATAAATGTTTACTTTTATGAGCTGCTATGTCAGATATGTATTTCTGAAATGTAATCATGTCTCTTTGAAAACATATTTGGAAAACAATTTCAGAATTGGGATAGGATGGAGGAGCAAGATGTGAACGGGGAATATGTTTTCACCAAAGTAACATACATAACAATACCAACCTATTTGGACCATGTTTAATAAGCATATGAGCTAAACATCTGCTAGATTTCTTATGTAGTGTGATGGAAGAACACAGTGAAGAGGAGAGATCCTGCAAAAAAGGAGTGCTGTTAATTATTACAGTGGTTTCTGCTGCTGCTATTCTAAACTTGTGTTCATGTAACTGCTGGAAAACATTTTACTACACAAGGTATTAGTTTGCAAATGGCAGTCAAAATTAAATCCTTGCATACTTAACATAAAATCTGTAGCACTCTTCCATGAATGTGAGTGTTTACACCAGTGTTTTTATGTTCAAACTGAGCTTGCTGACACATACCATCAGAAGTCAGCTGTGTGGTATCTCCTGTTTTCTTCCTAAAATTTGAGTGGTTGTCCAAAAAAGATGCCATTGCTTTTGTATGTGCATAGGAAGTGTGTATTTTGATGAGCCAGCCTGTATTATACACGTCCTCCTACCCTGTGTCCACAAGAGAATGCGAGCCAAAACATTTTTCAGTCTCCTTTTAAAACGTGTCTGCAAGAGTCAACTCTGCAGTCGGGAACCTTTTGACTGGACACCAGTTCTGCAGGTATTTAAGCAAGAATATTAATATTCACGTATGTAGTGAAACAGCTGTTGGTCATGGGGGTCAACTTCTGTAGGCAAAGAGGAGGTGATTTCCCTAC